AGAGCCGAAATTAGCTTTGAACAAATTTTAAAATTGAAAACCATAAATTAAAACAATTACATCTAATCATTTGACCTGGGAATTCTAAACTTTGGAAGTGGACATGGTAATAATTTAATCCTTAGAATATACACAGAAGCCGGATCATAGTAGAGCATGCCTTTAATCCCAGCACTCGGGAGGCAGAGGCAGGTGGATCTCTGTGAGTTTGAGACCAGCCTGGTCTACAAGACCTAGTTCCAGGACAGCCTCCAAAGCCACAGAGAAACCCTGTCTCAAAAAAACCAAAAAAAAAAAAAAAAAAAGAATATACATAGAAAACACATGCTGTTTTTCTCTGATTAAATTTTGTGTAAAGATGGATGATGTTATTAAAATTCTGGCAAGAGATAGAAAGTATCAGGCAGAGTGTCAATAACCAGATATACAAATAAATAAATGAATAAATAAATAAATAAATACATGCATACATAAGAAAAGATAGAAAGAAAATCTTTTGATCAAAAAGTTCTCAGGAACACAAAAGGGGTCTGTGATCTAGTAAAAGATGGCTTTACTTATGTCATACTCAGAGGTACTGTTGTAGGTGAGTCCTGCTATTGATAACCGATAGAGTCTTCATCTCTGTTTTCAAATTGCAAACCTGTTTAATTAAACTCTTTATATGTAATTGGTCATATAAGATTGCTTTAAATTTAAGAGTGGTGTTTCATTTACACTTATCCTATGATATATGGCAAAGAGCAAGCCACTTCTTCTCATAAGATATCTGAAATGAGGCTTGAATTGCTTAAATGATGTATTAACTCTATGCAAAACAATGACGGATTTTTGGTCATCACATGTACTGATTCCTTCCTTGTAAATTGCTTTACCTAAAGTAACTATAATCCTGAAAATCTAGATTTCTTTTGGGTACAATTATTTTTTTATAGCTTTGTCTTCCTTGGTAACCATGTAGAATCATGTTAGTTATCTTTAGACTTTTGGAAAAAAGTCCTTCAAATAATCATTCCAGGTTTCTCATTTAATGCTGCATTGCTAAGGTAGGTTTGCATTACTGCATGTTTATATGTTTTTTTTAATTTTAATTTTATATGATATACATTTTAGGATACTCTGTAGTTTTCTATTTAGTCTTCTGTGAATGTGCATTTATGTTCATTCAAAACTGACAACTGTACACCAATGCCATTCCAAGTATGAATGTAATTATCTCAGATGGCACGTAGAGTAGTCATGAGTGTATACCAAGGAATGGGTGTAGTGGTGCTGGAGTATACAAATGTTAAATATTTTAAGTGGTGTTAAATTGATTTTCAAAATGGCTTTCACTAATCATTTTCCCACCAGTTATGTGTAAAAAATCCTGTGTCTCCAGTTCACATTCCACTCTCTGGACTGATACACTTTTACTTTATTGTGTTCAATGGGTATCAAATGCTACCTCCTTGGCTGGTTTTCATTTCTGCTCCCTAACAATGCTGGCTATCCCTTTATATGGACATGTGTGCTCTGTTTTCTGAATACTTCCTCTTTGTTAACAAGATAAGTTTCAAATTTATTGGTTTGAAGTTGTATTTTCTTTTGTTTGCAGTTTCTTGATTGTGTGTTTTTTTAATGTAATGCAAGCATCTTATCCCCAAGTTTAATCTTTCTTTCACTTTACAAGGTCTTTTAAAAGTTTATTTTGTTTTATTCTATATGTGTGAGTTATTTTGTGTGCATGTATGTCTATAAAACACATGCATGCCTGGTACCCTCAGAGATCCCCTGGAACTGGAGTTCTTAGTTGTGAGTATAGTGTGAATGCTGGAAATAAAAGCTGGGTCCTCTGGAAAAATGAAAAGTACTCTTAACCACTCAGTCAACTCTTAGCCCCTCCCTCCTTTATGATGTCTTTCAATGAACAAAGGTTTAACAGTAATAGTGGGGCTTGATGGATGGCTTAATGATTAGCAGCATTTGCTGCTGTTTCAGAGAATCTGGGTATAGAGCCCTGAAACCACGTGTTGGCTCATGATTACCTGTAACTCCAGTTCCAGGGGACCAAAGCTTCTTTTTTGGTTTCCATTGACATTGTGGACAAACAGTTCACAGACATACATGTAGCAAAACATACACATAGAATAAAAATAAGTTCTAAATAATGTTTAAATTTTAATAGAATCAAGCTAAGTTTTTTACTGTACATTGTCTTTTTGCATTATTTAAAAGATACTTCCTGCTGTATATATTCATATATATATTTTCTCATAGAAATTCTAAAGCTGTTGACATGTTAAGAATTTAGTCCACCTGCATTTGGCACATGATCTATTGCCATTATTTTCCCTAAGTATAGCCATGCCCCTGTCTTCATTTCTGGAGACCCCAATTTCTTCCTATTTTCTGACATACTAGTGCCTTCTTCCCACTAAACCTCAGTTGATTTGCAGATTTGGCCACACTTTGTCTTCAAAGTTCAGACTGCATAAGAACTCTTAAAATTAGGTAAACCAGGTTTTCCCTGTGTTTCCCACAGCTGCAGAGCTGCCATCCCTTTGCTCTTCTCTGTAGACTCATATGTCCACAGCAACTCTATGACAACTGGTTTTATAATTTTGACTATGATTTGTTGAATCTATATGTCAGTTTTGGAGAGAATTTATACCTTCATAATATCTCATTACTATCTATGAACATAGTATATGCCATTTCTTTAATATTTATTTGTATATTTTATCATATTTTACTTTTAGAAATTTTTTATTTCTATGGTTTTCTATATTTGTTCTTTATAATATTTATGTTTCATTGTATATAATTTTATACCTTGCATTTATCCTTGACTATAAACTTTTCCTTTATATTCCTGAATTTCCAAGTTTTGATAAGATTCAATCACAATAATAAGGTGGTTTCATCCTTAATCAGTTGTCTCTGGAATGAGTTTTTAAAAGTAAAATTCTTGTCCTTTCTAAACAACCATTCTTTAATGAAGCAATTAAAATTTATTAAAAAAAAATCAGGGATGGTATTTTGGCATAAAAATAAAACATTGTTTAGTGGTAAATATCTTCTCTCTACAAATAAAATTCTAATAGTTCCTAATTCTAATTAGAAACAAGTATAAAACAGGAATAGCTAAACGATGTTTTAATAGTTTATGCATTCTTTGAAAAATTTTATTAGTCCTTTGAAAATTTCATACAATGTGCTTTAATCATATTCAACCTCCTTCTAAATTACTCCCATATCCATCCCCTCTTCTCTATCCACCCAACTCCATGCTTACTCTCTCTCTTCATCTATCTGTCTGTCTGTCTGTCTCCCTTTAGAAACTCATGTGTCCAATGTTTTGTTTTGATTGATTGATCTTAGCTCTAGGGTCTTCCCTGGAGTGTGGTTGACTTACCAGAGAGTAAACCATCAAAGACGACTGACTTTTCTTTACTCAGTAGCTATCAAATGCCAATGACTCTTCGGCTTGTGGTGGACTTCATGTCCACCTCCCACTTTCTGATGGGATTGTCTGCCATGAGTTTGCACAGATCTTGTTGATGTTATCATGATCCCTGTAAGTGCATATGTGCAGCTGCCCTGCTGTGTCCCTAAAACAGTTCTCTTGGAGCCACTCACAACTGATAACTTATTACTATTCCCATAGGTCAATGTGTGTCACCTCTCATCTGAGAAGCTTCTTTGTGTGTTAGACGGCAATTACCACAGAGACTCACAACTGGTCAAAGCATAAAGAACAAGAAACCGCATGGTTTTCAGGACTAATAGGATGTCTATATCATTTCCCTTTCCCTAAGACTCAGAGAGCTTTGCTCCAGAGGGCGGTAGATAGCTTTTAAGAGCCAGAGGTGGTGGACATATTTCAGGCTTACATGTTATTAAGACTGATAGATTACACTCAGAGAAGCAAAACATATTGGTTTGTAGATGAATTTCACAAAAAAATAAAATGATTGTATAGCTTTGGATCTTGTTAAACATTATACGTTTAAATTAATTCAGTATCGGTACTACAAATTCTATAGTCTAAGAATTTTTTATGTACTGCAACATTAGATTTTTTTGTCTTCCCACTACGGTTCTTTTCAGTAAAGGTGCAAAACTAAGTTACCTTCTTACATAATCAGGATGGAAAAGTTTATAAATCTCATATGTTTTGTAGAGATAAAATTAGCCATGCTGGATTTGTATCAAAAGTTTCAGTGCAAATAGATGGGACTCTAGTATACAAGTATATCAAGTGACACTTTCAATTTTCTTGTATCACAAACAAATATAATGATAATGATCTCACTAAATGGCCTACTGACATTTGCAGGGAAAAGTATTTTCCATTTCTAATCAGAATGCAGAAAATGCTAGAAAAAGCAATACAACCTGAATGACTTTAAAGTTACATGTTTGTGTATGAATACTCTGAAATCTCCATTTTAAAACTGGCTAGTGTCAATTCATGCATGAAAATTTTGAGCATAAATTTCAGGTTTTAGTAAGCTTGTTTTATTTTGTTTTCATTTTCTTAGGAGAGAGAGTCATTGTTATAAAAATAAAAATAAAAGATAAACAGGATACAAAGCATAATTATTGAAAAGTCAGAAAACAATTATGTAATAGCAATGGAAGATTAGTTCATAAACTGTTGTAATTTAATCCAAAAGGAAAATACACTCAATTTGAAATGTTAAAAATATATAATGAGCAGTACACATTTGCTTACAGTTTCAATCTGGGTATGTTTTAATAAGCACAACAAAATCTCATTTAGAAATACGTTATTGCATAGATTATTTAAGATTTTCTAGAATTGGTATTTATTACCACATCATCCTAAAAGATTTATTAAAAAGTTAAACTTTTAAGTTTTATTTAAAATGACACACAGTAATACAAAAATATGAAAGGTTACCTAAACAATATTTATCTTACTGTTAATTTTCCATTAAAGACACTTGAAAAGATGTAATTCCAGAACAAATATCTGTTTTTGTAAATTCTAGCAGTAAAGAAGAATCATCGCTAACATCTGAAGAAAATAAGCTTGAGACATTCAAGTTCACAGGTAACATTTACATAAAATTAAACAAGATCTATTTTTGTTAAAGTCTACAATGAAAGCAATCTTACAATAAAAACCAATCGTATTATCCTTTCAGATGCCTATGTCCCAACAATCATTTGTTCTCATGAGGATAAGGATGACTTGGGAGCCAGTCATCAAAATGTAGAAGATATCAACAGGGAGCATGACGGACATAATGAAAAAGAATTAGATTTGATGGTAAGTGTTCTGGTTGCCACGGTATTAGAGAAGATCAATCTATTTATGCTTCAAAGATGCTGCAATTCCTGCCTTTCAATGGCCTCCACTAATATAATTTGCAAATGTGAAAGCATAGCCTATTCTGTCCCAGCATCTCTATCCAGCTAGAGCAACAAGGCACTTTGATTTCAGTGTGTTGCTTCTGCTCTCCACAGTGTTAAATTAATGACATTCATTTCCTATTGCTTTGCCACTGGCTCTGAGTAATAGTTTGTGGGAATTAGAAGCAAGAGGCCCTATCCTGATGTGCACTTCTAATCTTTGTAACCAGTGTACGTTTAGCATAAACTTCTCTGTAAAATAAGAGGGCTGGAATAGAAAATGGTTAAGGCCCGACCCAACTGATAAGCCTATAATTCTTATGTTTAGCAGTCTTTTGCTTTACTATTTCTGCCCAAGTAAGAGTCCCCAAATTCCTTATCATGGTAAAATATTAAATTATCAAGGAGGAAGAAAATAACCAGTGCTACATAATTTTAAAGCAGAAACAAACTTGGTACTGTACAATTTAGTTTAATATTTGTTAGCACAAATTTCACCCTTGGTGAACATCAAGTCTGTTCTGAAATTTGGAAGAGATTGTTTAGTTCGAACTTTTAACACACAGTGAGATGTAGAACTAAATGAGTCACATACTGCAATTTATCCTTTATTGTATTCAGCTGGAGCTCATAGCATGCAGTTACATGGATTCATAATCACCTTAGATTAAAATGACATTTGCCTCTTCAAGTGTCAGTGCTGAAGCCCAAAAGAGCTAGAACTCTTCTCTTTCCCCACACATTTCACCTCTGCAATGGTGATATGGCAACCGCACCACTAAAGTATGCAATTGACTGTGCTCCGACATTAAGGCACTACAAAGTTGTCACCAATTGTGAGAATTCTTACCAGCTGAAAGTTAACATCACCTTTTTTTTTTTCAAACCAGAGAATATAATGAAAGGCCCCTGGAAAATCACATACTTTTCCAATATACCTCATTACCATGGGCAGCCTCAAATATAAAAGTTTGTTTAGAAGTTAGTGAGGGTGTACACCCAATAAATGAACGGGGAGCTGGAATTTAGATGCTAATTTGCTCCATGCTGACGTGACTGCATAAAACAATGGAGCTCCGTAATAGATGGAAATACAACCAAATCTGTGGAACCCACAGGCATTGGCTTATAAGACAGCTGTGCAGTTGACAAGTAACATGAGCCTTATGTGAGAAGAAGGGGAAAACGTAAGATTTGCATATAATTATTGAGATCATGCAAATGTCAGTTATGAGGAGGAAAAAAAAAACACAGGCATCTCACTGTTAAATCCTGACAGTTGGCATCACTGAAGAGCTCAAATACATTTGAGTACCAGTTGGCAGAGGGTCATTAAAACAGAATTTGCAGAGACATTAACTCCCTCACTTTTCTTTGAGTGACGTTTTGCTATTAATAGTTTGCAGAGGCTTTGCAGAAAACATATTAATAAGAGAAACTGTAATGGGGGCACCTACAGCACATATAAATGTGGCAAGGGGCATCCAGGAAGCTTTTCTCTAATTGATTAGCATGGAGCTATCAATGTGTATATCCTAAGCGAGGAAAAAGTGCAATGACAAGCAAGATTGGTTGAATAATACAATGTGATATTTGGAAGCTGAGAAGGAGAGTGATTAATTTGAGCCCCTTTCCCACTGATCTCATTCCCAAGTCATACCTTACAAAGATCTTGCCCCAAACATACAACTTCCAGAGTTTGTGTGAAATCCACAAATGAATTGAGCCAAGGAGATTTACCAGATAATTACCTGAGGTAATAAAATCTAATTCACTTTTCATATATTTTAAAAGTCATATTGTTGTTTGTTTTTATTCCATAAGATACACCCACCGCTAATAATTTCTCGGGATGAGAAGAATACATTTTCAACAGATTCAGTCAATTGGACAAATAAAGCTGAGGGGTCAGAGAAGAAGCAAGAATATCATGAAATTCATACTGGCTTGTTCAGAAGGCAATTGTCTCCGAGTTTGCCAGAAGAAATCTCCTTAAAGAAAGATTCCTACCATAGCAGAAACTATTCTCCAGGAAATGAATATGGCCATCCACCTTCAGAGGAGATTATGTCACATGCGGGAGAAATGGAGCAATTACTGGGAGATTCTAGTGCTGATGAATTAATGCAACAGAACCTCTGCAGCCAAGAAGTCCTAGATGATAATGCCAACCCTGCCCATGGAAGTGACAAAGTGCAAATAGCATGCTCATCCTATGACCACCTAATGACAGATGGTCTTAACAAGAACAATGAGACTGGAGTCAAGAAGACTGGAATAAAAGATCACAAATATTCAAGAAGTGATTTCTATTTAGAGGCATCCACAAACCTGGAAGAATCAAATGCATCTCCCAAAGATGACTATACCAAGGGCAATGATGAAGAGGAAGAAAACACATGCTTAGGTGTTAATGAAAATCAAAGAAAGAATTTTCAATCGGTATTCCACAACCAAGAGAGACAAATGGGGCACCCAGAAATAAGCATTGAAGGAACAAAAGCTAGTAATGAAGACTTGACCACTCTACTAAGCAAAGACACTACAACTACTACCTGGAGAGCAAGAGTAGATCTCTCTCCTTCAACAAAGACAAAAGTGAATTGGAGAGAAACTGGCAAGGGTACAACTTTAGAACCAATAGCTACTCATCTTGGTTCACCAAGAAATGGTAATGTTCTGACAGGCAGTTATCTTTTACAAGCTGCAAGGGAAAAATCAGATCCTAGTAATCCTGAAGATCAGAATATGAATACGCAGTATAAAAAAAATTGGAATGTTCTGGAAAGTCAGCCAGAAACAAGAGGGATTGAAACAAACACAGCCAAGCAGATCAAAGAACAAGCAGAGTGTAAAGACATGTGGGAAAAAAGAGATAACAAGAGAAGTCTGAAAGCTACTCCTACAGAACCGTTGTTTACCTGCCAAGAGACAGAATGCTATGAACTGTCTTCTCTAGCTGATCATGGTATTACTGAGAAAGCACAAGCAGTTACAGCTTATATAATTAAGACAACATTAGAAAGGACTCCAGAAAGCATGTCTGCTAGAGGAAACACAATAATTGCTAAGCTACCCCAAGAGACAGCAAGAAGTGACAGGCCCATCGAGGTAAAAGAAACAGCGTTTGATCCACATGAAGGGAGGAAGGATGACTCACATTATACCCTTTGTCATGGAGATACAGCAGGTGTAATTCATGACAATGATTTTGAAAGGGAGTCACATTTAGCTGTTTGTGATGTGCACGTAGAGGAAATGGAGAAGGAGGCAACCACATCTACATGCTATCCTAGGAAGACACATGACAAGGAGAAATGTGGAATTGGAATTGTAACATCTACAGACAAATCTTCAGAGGTCATTACAGGCAATCATAAAGCTACGTCAAAGCTGGATTTACATTTGGGAGTGTTACCAACAGACAAAGCAATATTCCCAGAAAATAAAGATCATGAGCTGCTTGAAGAATTATCGAGGAGAACAGACTTTGATGCTGTTCATCCTGAATTTAACTCAGATGCTTCCAGCACATCTCAGGGCAGCCCTCAAGTTTACAGATGCCAATCTAAAAATTCAGAACCCACTTCTGGATGGCTATTTGCTGAAGACAATGCAGGTACTAGCACAACACTCCGGTCTATTCTTACCAAATCAGAATATACTTGCTGCCCAGAAAGTGAGACCCTGGGCCATGCCATGTCCAAACCTGATGATGTTTCCAAAACTTTGGAAATAACGGAATCAGGCAATGGAAGAGAAAGACCTGTGGGTCCGATTCTCCAACAAAAGGAAGGTAAAAGTATGCAAAAATCGCAAGGCCCAATTATTTTAGTCAGTGAACCTCTTGAGAATCTGGAGGAGGCAAAGTCTGACATTGAAGGACTGATTCATTTTGAACAGTCACAACGCTATTTGGATGACACAGGATCAGAGAGCCCCCCTTCTGCTACTCTCCCTCCCCAGGAAGCCCAAGCTCAGGGCAGGGAGTCTCTGCTTTCCACATATGTCAATTCTAAACTACCCTATTTCCTTTTGTTTCTGATCTTTCTTGCAACTATCTACTACTATGACTTAATGGTAGGCTTGGCATTCTACCTTTTTTCCCTGTATTGGTTATACTGGGAAGGGGGGAGGCACAAAGAGTCTGTCAAAAAGAAGTGAGGTTGGTAAAATGACTATTCTCTCTTGAAAGATAAGCTATTTAGTCCCAAACATTTGGATTGGCAAGAAAGACTATTCATTGTTCGAAGAGTCAGCACAGTTTTTCTCTTGAAGGAACATTTTAAAAGGAATGCATATGACGTTTGCTCCTTCATATAAGTAATTATTCTATATAGGACCATTATGCTTGGATCATTAAATACCTATATGAATATGAGATCTGAAGCACGTCAAGTTGAAATTAGGTACAGCTGTTGCTCTTTAGCAGGCTGTGAAGTCGAAATGCTTCATGTCTCTTCAGTGCTTAAAGTGCTATTTCTTGCATTCATTTCTTTCACAGTAAAGCTTTGTATATTTTTTCCCTGAAATTTTTTCCCTATGGTTTTAAAAATAGATAAAACACGGACAATAGCAGAGAATTTTTTTTCTTTTAGCCCATAGAATTAACCATGAAATTTTCATGTAGCACTGTGTTATTTATCAGCACATATTTATAGATCAAATACTGATATTTCTATTTTATACCAAGAAAAAATGTCCATGTATGTTATCATAACATGGAGACATATATTATGCACATTCACATTATAACTCATATTCACACCCTTGTATCTCTTTACACCTATAATGTCAGGGTGTTTATAAACCAAAATTGACCAATACTTCTGTTACAAATTAGACATATTCATGCAACTCTACAAATTTTGCGGGCATCTCATTTTATGCAATGGTTTTCAATTGAAAAGGTAAACTGTAACATGGCTGAACAATTTCAATGTTAAGTGGTGTCCAGACATGAAAACCTTCTGTAGGTCTTGTTTTAGGACAACTCAGGAGCTAGAGATCAGCAACTCTCAACCTGTAGGTGGTGAGTCTGTTGGGATCAGATATCCTGCATGACAGATATTTACATATGATTCATAAGAGTAGCAACGAAATAGTCTTATGGTTGGGGGTTACCACATGACAATCTGTACTCAAGGTCGCAGTGTTAGGAAGATTGAGAACCACTGCTAATAGAGTATAAGGCCTTAAATGACAATAAAATTGATAGTAGAATGGTTACTCTTCTGGATAGATATTTTGCTTTTAATTCATTTGTTAATATTTTCTCATAGTGAGGAGATATTCCAACATACACTTGCAGAACAAACACCTTGACTTGGGTGATACTCATTGTATGATCTTTAGGTAGTGAGCTGATGACTCAAAACTGAAAGTAAGAAAAATAGGTAGAGTTGGAGGCACACTGGAAAATATGCGAGCATCCAATATAGCAGTGATTTTGACTACTGTAACTATGGGTAAAAGAGTGAAATAATAGAATTTTTTGGTTAGGTGGTAATACTGTGAAGATTCACATACAATTTACTTTAGCAACTTTTTGGATGACTGTAATACATAAGGCCCTGTGTGCTCTATTCTATGGCAGTCCTTTAATACACTGAATATATAGATCCCTTTATTTGAATGGTCATCTTTGATGGGAATTTCTTTCAGGGAATATTTAATTGAAAACAGTATAATATTTTTACTTATAATCATAAACTTACATGTCATCTCATATATCTTAGTAATATGCATTTATGAGAAAATAATAAAAATATTTTAAAAGACTTTTATCTGATACTTAGTGATTTGCTTAATTTTTGTTATGTACACAACTATTTCTCAATCTTGTAATTGCATGCTATTCTTAAGTCCCCTTGAAAGTGAATGACTGGCTTCAACTCTTTAGTAGATCAAATACAAATATCCTGAAGTAGAATGTAGGTCAAATATTTGATTGTTTGAAAAGCATATTTTCATTAAATACAAGTGGAATTTTTAAGCAGTCGTTAGAAATTCTCTTCAAAATTGTTGCCATCATATTTTTGTTGACAGTACTAAGTTATGTTGGAGTTAAAGTTAGCATTCCTTCAGTGCTTTATGGCTTAGAGATTTTTAATTCTATGTTTTAAGAGTTTTAGTCAATATGCCATTTCTCTTTAATGCAAATGACACTATTATTTTATGAGCACAGGTGCCCAAACTGGAATTCTTCTTTGAAATGATCAATGCAACTTCTTTTATCTCTTTTATTTGACTTCTGGTAACATTAACTCACAAAAGTTCTCATGCATTTGTAATAAAACAGGAACAAGATTCAAAAGATTTTTAAATTCAGGATTGAACTCACTCTTCAAACATTCTGTATGAGGAACTTGAAATAAAGTCACAAGAACATCTGAAGTGATTGCTGTATGGGGAGGCAGAGTTCAGTCATTTCTTTTGGTCACATCTCTATGCTGAATAAGAAGAGTGAGTGGTAGGAAGAACTCATGGCCTCTGCTAAGGATGTGGCTGTGGACCATGTTGGTAAAGGCTATTATTTAAATGCATAGCTGCCTTTTCCATGTCTCACCAGTATTGACTTTGGGCATAATGAAGACATGGCAGGGTAATTAGCAATAAGGAGCTTGGACTATGTCATTCTCATAGAATAGGAAATTTGATATAATCATTATTACCTTTTATCTTGCTGGGCTTTTCACTTTCAGACATGAAGCTCTAAAAAATAATTGATAAGTAAGTCTAGGAAGCATAAGTAGTAAAAACAACTCTCTTTTAAGAAATCTGACTTCTCTAAGCTATGCATATCACAATAGAATTCTCAACCAGGATGACATGATCAGTGGATGATACCCACTCTTCAACACTGAGGACTGTTAGGTTAATAGACAAAAGTTTCCTGAGAAGCTCTAATATTTCAGTAGTAAAGTTTTTAAGGGGCTATCTATATTCAAATATTTGCCAATATTTTGTCAAAACAGGACATTCTTATACCTCATCTAACACCAGTGTTATGATTATGTGGAAAAATTTTTAATGACTAGACCAATGTTTTATTTTACAGTTATGAATGTTATTTCATGTTAAAGACATTTTCTTTATCAAGATCCCTTTTATACAAGAATAAAATAAAAAACAAATAAAATAGGCCTAGTAAAAATTATAGGTGGTCTGTCTACTGATCTCCTTTATGATAATGGCTTTTCTTTTACATGTCCATTAAGTGCTTCTGGAAAGTGGACTTTGTGGTGATATTTTGTTTATGTTCTAATAAAGTATGCAGGAAGATCAGAGCACAAAGCTAGGCACAGCCATACAGGGAGATAGATCTCTTGTGAGTTCAAGGTAATCTTGGGCTACATGAGAATGAAACAGTCTAAAAGAAACAGAGTTCACACCTTTAATCCCAGCACTAAGGAGGTGGAGACAAGAGTGGTATGTGTGGACAGAGAGAGGAATATAATGCAGCAAGAGACAGGAAAAAAATTACGGTCTAGGCAGTCTGAGGTTTGGTGAGAAGCAATGCAGTTGGGAGCAGTCTGAGGTTCACTGGATCGCCCCTTTTGTTTGAGCATTGATAGAGGTGAGAACTCTCTAGTGGCTGGCCACTTTGCTTCTCTGATCTTCAGCTTTAACACCAATATCTGTCTGTGGGTTTTTATTATTCCTGCTATAGGGCTTTACAATAAGGACCTCCTTTTGCTGTTATGCTGTCTTAACCAGTTCCTATGGAACTGAAGAAGATCCATTTTCACTCTACAAGATGTGAAATGCCAGACCATGCTTGCCAATTACCTTCTCAGTTGTGTATCTCTGAAGAGAGCAGCTCAAAAAGCTACTGTTATTTATCGGATTAACCATGGTTGCTTTTTGTATAATTTTTGGAAATTTTATAATAAAAAGCTTGTCAACACAACCTAATTTTCATCATTTAAAAACATATTTAGTCAAGAATCTAAAGTTTCTATCTCATAAGCCAAACTTTCAAAATTATAAATAAAATTTTAATGAAACTTCCAACCTAGCTTTGAATGTGCATGCATTTTATAATAAATTGTTCTATTGTGGTTTGTTGAAACCTTATTTAAAAAACAACTATTTTAAAAAGTCCAAGATTTTAATTTTATGTTATTTCAATATTTTCAAATGCATATATAGGACATTGGTTTTTCAAAAATGGACAATACATTGTGCAAACTGTAATAAAAGTTTCTTTAAGTCTTTTTCTACTATATTTAATTCTTCTAAATTGCTAGAAAATAATGTAAGAGGTCAACAAGGGTAAAGGATCATGGAATCATTTCTATTTGGCAGTGGTGCCTCCAATACCTGATTTTAAAATAACCTGTAATTCTAATTAAATTACTTGTCTTGGTTGAAATTGGTGCAGAGTCCTTATCTCACTACTCTCATTATTCTTGTAATTCAGCCTTCCCCTTTGTCCACTCCCTGAAGTCCCATTGCAAACTGAACAAATAATATTAGTTCTCTTAGCACTAAATATGTGTACATCTCTGCCGAGACTGCATGACTACATTACTTCCCTCATCCTGTTTACTGCTCCACGATTTCTATGCATACTTCAAATCCCATCCTTTCTGTCATCTCTCCTTTCGTGGTTTATAAGCTCTTTCTGTTTTCATTTCTTTCTATGTCATCCTTCTATTGCTTGCACTTGTCATTTGGCTATTCCAAGTGAACTGACTATAATCTTGGGAAAGAAACAAAGATTTTATCCTCCTTCCAGTCACCTTACATGGTCTAGTTTGCAGGGATGCTAAGCCAGGACTTGTCACAATGTTGATTCTTCCTTTTGTCTCCTGGTATACAATTAAAACTTCCTTAAATTGTAGCTGGGATGATTAGTAAATTTCTGAAGATAATGTCTAAAAGGCATAGAGAATGCAGACAAGCATTATAGAATCACATGTTGGATTTGGGATATGGAAGAAGGAAAATGGCCTTTCCTCACATTTCCCTTAACAATTACATTTATTTTCCATGCTGAAAATTTGTCTTTCATACATAAAATATCCCTGTCCTTTTTATCTCATGGAAAATAACTAAGCTATTCAAAATCTCTGGGAAAATAGTACATTACTTAATTAATCAGATAAGCTGGAAATTAATGAAACACAACATTTTGTCAGAGAAAGTGGCTCAGTGGT